ACAATATCTATCACTATCATGGATTATCCAAGGATATTATATCAGATAGGGAAACTCAATTTGTATCAAGATTTTGGAGGACTCTTTTCAAGATTCTTAAAGTAGATATAAAATTATCTTCGGCATTCCATCCTCAAACTGATGGACAAACGGAGAGTGTTAATCAAGTTTTGGAGCAATATTTAAGATGTACCATTAATTACCAACAAGATGGTTGGACAACTCTTTTGCCATTGGCAGAGTTTGCTTACAATAACACGGTACATTCTTCTACAAAACAAACACCTTTCTTTGCTAATTAGGTTATCATCCATGACTTGATACTTTTGACTTTTCAAAAGTTGATAATCATGCTGCGAAAGATTTAACAATTCATTTATCAAAGCTACATGCAACGATGAAGGCGCAGTTAAAAGAGGCTCAAGAACAACAAAAGGTCAATGCGGATGTCTATCGAAAGGAACAACCATCATTCATCTTGGGTGATAAGGTATGGCTACTTTGTCGCAATATCAAGACCATTCGTCCTTGTGACAAGTTGGACTATCGAAGGCTGGGACCATTTTCTATTTCTGCATAAATCAATCCAGTTGCATATCGTTTACATCTACAGGACTCAATAAAAATCCATCCAGTATTCCACATGTCTCTTCTTGAACCATACAAGACAGTGGACATATCAAGAAGACGACAAGCTCCACCTCCTCCTATAGAAGTGGACAATAATGAAGAGTTTGAAGTAGAAGAAGTCTTAGATTCAAGGCGGTGCCAAAATTAATTAGAATATCTTGTCCATTGGCACGGATATGATATTAGTGAACACACATGGGAGCCAATAAAGAATCTTACAAATACAGCAAAGGCGGTGGAGGCTTTTCATCGACGATATCCATCAAAATCAAGATGAAAACCTTCTTTATAAAAGAAACAACATCTAGGCAAGATAACATTCTACTTTCAATTCTTGTTCGTAGCTTCTTTGTAGTAGTGACGCTTAGGAGATGGAGAACCAACAACCAGTGGATTCGGCTCAAGAGCCTTCATTTGCTGACCTGCCGGACGAGACATTACGATTGTCACAACCTTCAAGACGACGTAATCAAGATGAAGATCTTCAAGAACGACATGTTCTTCCTTGAATAGATGGCGAGATACAACGCGTTTGGTATTACGATTTGCGAAGGGACTCCGGATGTTTGGTGATTGTGCTAGAGGTAGGGACAACTCCTGATGGTGATCCAAATATTCTATTCGAAGGAAGTTACGAAGGCCTCAACAATGATCAAATAACTGAGTGGTCTTTCGACCCTGGTATGGGACACTACCGATGGTTGAGAGGCCCTATCAATCATCTTTGAAGAGAACAAAGATCAGAGTATGTGGCGAATACAATTCGTCGCATCATAGATTTTCTCAACATATGATGATCGCTCCTCGTGGAACTCATCTCTAGAAGGAGGGGTAATGTCACGGACATAATCATGTAAGCTAGTAATTACATATACAAACAGGTAGAAGTAAATAAAAGTAGGTAAAAATAAGTTAATTCTATAATATTTAATATGGAAGCTTCTTAGAAGCTTCATAGATGCTGCTTTGACTTCATAGGTGTCTTTAATTGACTTTTTGGATTAGAAACGTGGTCAACAAGTTGGCCATGTGCCACATATGTTGTTAGCTTAAAGATCAAGCTAACTATGTGGCCCACACATAGAAAAACTTGCCTTGTAAGTCAAGGCATATGTCCTACAAAGTCAACACATATTGGAGGTCCTATAGAACGTTGCCACGTAGCCCCTAGTTAGATAGTATATATAGAGATAAGAGTGAAGGCTTCTTCATTCTTGTCAACTCCTTTCTTGCTTCTAGTCTAGTTTCAAGGGTCTCTAATTTTCTTGTCTTTTGGCAATAGCCATTCTAGTTTCTCTTTCAATATATATACTTGTTTATATATATTTTGTTACCTCTCTTTGAGTGAAGGATCACTTGTCTGAATTGTTTTTTCATCGAGTTCTTGTCCTTGACAATTGACCTACCAAAGAATTGTCTTTGAACTGACTACTTTCAACCTAATAGTTCTTTGAGGAGGTGCTTTAATTTTTTTCAATAATGCTTATTAATGCTAAATTCTTAGATCTCATTACATTTTTTAGTAGAATTCTTTTGGAATTGATTATATGTGAAATAGTAATTCAGCCATACGTTTTAAAATAAGTTGACTTATAAAGATTCTTACTAAATAGAATGTAATCATAAAGTAATTTCTATTTTAAAATATTATTAATAGAAGATATTTATAGTCTATTTTATTATCATTGTGTTACTTTGTGAATGTGAATTGGCTTCCATGCTTTTAAATAGTCAAAAGAAATTACCATGAGCTTCATATATAAAGTTGTATTTAGCAAATAACATAATTGCTTGATTTTAAGATACCTTAAATCTAGCTACAACTTAGAAATTATAAATATATAGAGTGTAATTGACAAGAGAAGTATTTGATTCTCCACAATCTTCTTTTGTTGATTAAGTATACTTGATTACGGATGATTCTTATCTTCTAATTGATAAATTGTAACATTTGACATATTAACAGTGGATAATAAGTTGCATTGTTTAATCTCCAAGTTGTTGATGTGCTCATGATAAGCTTCCAGTATGTCAAGAAGATCTTTCTCTCCTTTTTGTCTATCTTCTAAAATAAAACCAATTTGGCTCTTTGATTGGATTTTTTCATTATAAATGGATTTTAAGATTGATTCTATAGTTTTAGACTTTTTTGCAATAGAAGTATATTTTTTCTCAAGCATATTGAGATGTTGTTTAAGATCTACTATTTGATTTAATAACATACTCATGTCCTTTTCTTTCTCCTTCTTAAGAGTTGTTGTCTCAAATTAGAACCAAGCATAACTATTAGTAGTTGTATACAATAGAGTCTTAATCACTTCATAATCTGTAGATTCATCATCTTCATGTTTATGATTAGCTAACTAATTATCTTCAATCTCTAGGTATGTTTTTTCAGCAAAAAATCACCTACCAGTTGGTTGGATTCATTGGATGCAATTCTTTAAAGATGGTTCTTTTCTTCTAGTCTTTGGAGCCCAATGTTAAACTTTTATGCTCCAAAAGTTAAAGAAAGCAAAATCTGTGCATTATAAAATTTAACATGTCATTTCAATGTTAAGCTTTCAAAAAGTTGTTAGATCAATACCAACATATTTTTCACAAAAAAATAATCTTTATATGACAAGAGTCATAATAAGATGTAACTTGATAATACTTTTCAACTACCTTATATTCAGTAGTAATATAACTTAGGTTTATAAAAACTTCTATAATAAATTTTTTGACTTAAAAAAAATAGTATAATTATATTTGAATTTGATGAGTAAACTTCCTTGTCAAAATTGGCTTTGGAATAAAAATAATACAATAACCACTGTTACAATGTAAGGCTAAAAAATTCACAAAGGCCGTTTTGTTAAAAAGCTAATGGACGTAGAGGTACACAAAGGCAATTTAACCAAGATTTGGGCATGATCATGAAAGCCACACTGAATACAAGTAAATCATTGAGAGTAAGCTTGAGACCACAATGAAGGCAAGAGATGGAAAAAGAAGCATTCAATGACATACAACAATAACAAAAACCTTTGATATGTAGTGTTGTTCCATGCTATAATACCTCTGAATAAACTCAGCTATTGAAACCCTAAAAGCTCTACATCCATTGATACAAAAACAAGAATTATACACCATAATCCATCTTATACTATTAATAGTAACATTAAGTCTATTTCTTCTTAGAAGAGCAAGAGCATGACCGTTAAATTAAAAAGGCTAGCATTCATCACATACGGATGCACAAATCCACATTACCAAATATTATAACCTAAAGTATTCATTTCTAGTAAAAGATTCAAAAGACCAAAATCATTTTTAAATCTCACATCAAAAACTACAAAAAGCAAAAGAATTTATTGTCAATAATAAAAAAATAAAAATAAAAATTGGTATGTTGTATTGATGGAAGTTATTCTATTCTCACCCTAAGATTTTATTGTGTGGAGAAACTCCGCTTGCATAATCACAATGCTTAAGAAACCACCCTTTGGTAGAGAGATTTGAAACATGGAAATAGATTGAAGATTCATTCCTTTAAAAATGAAATTTGAAGAAAAAATGAAGTAGATATTGATTGATGCAAGCCATGAAGATAAAGCTTGTGTGGTCCAACTTTGTCAATTGTTGATTTTGTGAATTGAGCCTCATGCTTCAAAACCCACCTTACAAATCTTGAGAAAAGTCATTACTAAATACTAATACATGAGAGTTTTGGATAGAGAAGAGTGGCTTTAACAAAATTAAGGTGTGGCTTTAACAAGTCCTTATATAAACACATATCTTTTTTAATTAATATGATTTATAATATTATAGAAGAGAACATTAATAAACTAAAAATATACAAGAAATTTTAATACAATTTCTTTATGCACAAAATTTTTTAAAATGTTGATTAATATATATAAATAGATAGATAGATAGATAGATAGATAATTTGGAAATACTATATCCACATTGATGTCTTTATTTGTAAAAATAATATAATAATATGTTGTAAAAACTTCATAATTTTGAAATTGTATAAAATATAAATAACTAAAATTATAATAAGATATACTTTTTTTTGAAAAAAATATAAATATAGATGTATACATAGATATATCATAATAGTTATTATTATTTTTTACAAAACTTAACCAAAATAAATTCCTCGAATTAAATAAATAAAATATAATTTTGTTATTTTGTTGCATCAATTTTACCAACCTACTCATGTAATGATCACCTTCGCCTTTTACAATAATTAATAATTCTAAATCATAAGAAAATATTATGCAACTCAAGCCAACAGGGGGGGGAGTATTGGGGTTCACAACAACATGCAAGCAAGCTGCTTCGAAGGCATGTGTTCTTCGCATTATCGAGGTTTGTTTGTGTTTCTGGGTGCTGGTTTCGGAGACCTCCCCGTGGCGTCCCCGACATCGCCGAACCCCGACTTGCAATTACTTGCATTGCGGGAGGTGCTTCTCACACACCAGCCCAGAGCAGGGCTACATCCCGGAGAGAATTGAAACCCAGTCAGTCTCTCTCACTCACTCACTCGTCCTCCGCTCCGCTGCCAAGTCGAACTGCCCCTGCGATTGCAGCATCCCCCCTGGGATCAGGAGCTTGCAATATTTTCCATCTGTGGCAATTGCTGCTGCAGTGTCTCGGAGCGGGAGCTGGTCGCAGTGACATGCCACTATGTGAGGAAGGGTTGTCGATTGTGGGCCCGTCTCTCATTCAGTATAGGGCCCCTTGTTGGACTCGCCTGCATCATTCTGGACAGTTGTCGGTTGCATTCGAATGCTTATGCAGTTATTGCTTCCACTTGTCGACATGCTGGGCGTATTGCATAGACTCAAGCATGATGTTGTTTGTTGCTCTCTAGTTGCTTTCTGGAATGCCTCTTTTTTCGGTGTTAAAGATGGGTTTTTATCAGTCGCGAAGTTTTTAGTCACTTAATATTGCTGGGGCATGTTGTTGGTGTGGTCGAGAAGAGCTCCATCTGCTACCGTGTATAGATGATTCACTTAGAAAGTTGCAGGTGTTTGAGTGTTGAATTGGTGTTTTCGGATTGGTGATGATTCCACCGAGATATGCAGTGGTTTTACGTAACATTTGGGTGAAGTAGATGGAAGTTTTGAGGAGGTTACCTGGGTTGCACAGATTCTTGAGTTGTTTCAAATGTCAGCCACCTCTTCTTGAGTTGGATTTTCTATGGACAATCATCCAGGGATCTTGCATCAGATTTATTGGTGATCGTTTTCTCTTGTAGAGAAATTCGTGATGGGTTTTTGGTTTGGCACGTCTTTCATGTCAGTGCGATCTCTTTACATAGGAGAGACGCTCGTCTTGTAGATGCAACGCCCTTCTCGTCATTATATCACGGATGCAGTCTTCGCGACGCTGGTATCTGATCAGATTTCTTAAAGGATATTGCACCACATTTTGTAGGATATTGGATTAATGAGATTCTAGTTGACTGGCTGATAAATTGCCACCATATTGTGAGCTATGCTTGAAGCTGGGTTATTTCCGTAGTCTTTCAATTTGTAGAGCAGGAGAAGAGATTCACGACCCGCGACATCCATTTGAAAGTTGCTCTTGGCAATCTACAGAAGGTAAAAATGGGAGATGATGCTCCAATGCCCGAGAGGGAACGTAACAAAGCTACTGAATCTTCATGTGGGAGGAGTTCGAAAGATTCTACTTCGACAAGCGCCTCCAGGCCCGGAATCAATGGTGCTCGAGTTTACTCTTCAAGCCTAGTAGACTTGTGATAGATGTAGGATTCAAAGAGTTTTACGATTAGGAAATTATGATTGAGATAAAGGTACATGAAAATGAACTGAAGACAATTTAAACCCAGACACTTGCGCTTGGTTTTGTAGGGAAATGGGTGAGATATGATTGCGAATCTTGTCAAATCCAAAACACCGAGGAACTTCCAACCTGCTGCTCTGTATCTATTTGGTTGACGAAGGTGTTAAATATTTCAAGAATATCATCACAAAAGCTTTGATAGAGGATTTACGGTAGAGCTGGAAGATTAAATACCCTCATTAACGACTCTTGTAATGGATCTAATGTTTCAGGGAGAGAATCACCCGCCTCAAATCCTTCTCTTGCGCCACTTCATCAGTCTCAAAGCACCACAGTTCGTCCTCGAAACAGTATATTTAAAAGACCTGTTAGCCCTCTGAAACTGTACAGTTGCACCTCACTACAAGAAGGTAGAGAGGAAGAGATGAGCAGCTCCGACAATGCTCAACGTGATGATGAAATTGCTCGACTTCCAAGCTTGGATTTCAGTGCAGGAGAAGATTCGAATTTCAAGCTTGATGTTGATAGCAGTGTCCCTGTAAACCCTGGCCCTATGGGTCCGCCAGCGTCCTTGAATAGTTGGAATAGCGACCTGTTGGAACTTCCCGTCGGTGAAGGTGGCCCTCCAAACAAGAGAAAATCATGTATCTTGAGTTTAGATGGTGGAGGTATGCGGGGGCTTATTGCAGCAAGGATCCTCTCTCACCTTGAAAACATTTTGCAGGTTAGAAATCTATCCATCTCTATTGTCTGAGAAATCATTCAACAACGGCAATGTCAGGAGGACTATCACGATCAGTAAGATCATTTGCTTTCTGGCTTGAAAATCCAATTCGAGGCATCTCGTTGTCCCCCGCTGAATTGTGAAAATCGTATCACAATTCAGCAGCCGATGTTTTCTTTTCTGTCTCATTCACAATGACATAAAAGAATGTCATGGATGGCCCGTTGACTTGAATTGTCAATGCGTTATTCGAGTGTTTTATCATCTGTTGACCTGATCTGGTTGCAGGAAAAGGTGGGTGAGAAGGTGAAACTATGCGACTACTTCGACTTGCTTGCCGGTACCAGCACAGGCGCTGTTCTTGCTACAATGTTGGTAACCCCAGACGCAAATGGGAATCCCACTTTCACCGCTGAGGGTTGTTGCGAATTTTACAAAAAAAACGGACGACTTATATTTCAGCATCGGTGGTACGATCCATTCCATGGATCGGTACGGCAGTTGTACCGACCCAAGTACTCAGGTCGACGTTTTGAGGATCTTCTCAAGAAGTACACATTCATTGATGGGAAGTTTCTTACCCTCCTTGACACCCTGAAACCCCTTGTGGTGACCTCCTTCGACATATCTCAAGCCACACCATTCTTCTTCGTGCGACAAGCTGCTCAGAAAGATCAAAGTCGAAACTTCAGGTGAGCATGTCATTTACTTGTGTGATTTTGTGCACGTGGCGTCTGGCACGGATGTTCACTACGGCCACAATAAAAAATAAAAAAAAAAAAAAAATCACTTTAAAAGTTTGTTTATCTGTTTGTTTATTCATGGTTAGTTTATCGTCCCTGGAATCACATAGGTTGTGGGAGGTTTGTCGGGCAACAGCAGCAGCTCCTACATACTTTCCACCAGCGTCAGTGCGATCAGTGGATGGGAGAGTTCAAGGCACTCTCATCGATGGCGGTGCCGTTCAGAACAATCCCGTGAGATACTCACTCTGATATGTGGAAAAGCTTTTGAACACTCTTTCATAATATTATAAGGCGCGAAGGCCCACGCTGGTTGGATCCTTACGCTCTTCCAAAACTGTTTGACAGGCGCTTGTTGCAACTACGCACGCAATTAGCAACAACGAGGAGTTTCCATACGTTAATGGTCTTGAGGACGTGTTGGTACTGATGTTCACCTGTGACCCTTTCATCCTATCTGAACCATCTTAGGTTTTTAGACAACCATCCTAATGTTGTTTTGATGAATTTTTTTGTTGTAGTAACGAGTTTATATGCAGAGCTAGTCACACCTATCTGAGCTCCGAATCAATTCAATAAAGCCTCTACTGTACATGACTTTGTCGTGCGTGTAGGAACTTCAGTACAATAAATATTTCTGAATACTCTGTGCGGAGCAGATATTGTCGATTGGGGCTGGTCAGATGGACAAGAAGCATGACCTACAGAAAGCGAGGAAATGGGGCATGACCAAATGGGTTCGCCCGATAATGGATATTATGATGGACGGCACTGCAGGTAACCTCTAGTCTTGCATATCGCTGCTCTTGCCGAATCTTCTCCTTAGAGTCATCAGAACTTGTTGATACTGTTAAAGCTTTCTGTATTTCTACCTTGTATTAGCACCCTGAGGGATATCTGATCATATGAGAGGTTTTGACGCATCTTTTGCAGACACGGTGGACTATCAATTAGCTGCTGCCTATGCTGGAAATAATTGCTCTGAGAACTATCTTCGTATTCAGGTAAAGACCTTCATGATTCCACCCTGCTTTTGCGAATTTAATCTTTTGTCAATCTGTTTGACTGTGATATCTCCACGTTTAAGAATGCCATTCTTCGAGTACCTCTAGCGATCTTTGAAAATCTGTGTTTACGTCATTTGAAATGTTTCGTTGTTTTCGCATTTTTGGACCTTCGGGCCTCAGTTTGTTTGGTATACGTGGTTAGACTGACGGTAGGAAACACTTTTATGGACCAGTTGTCCGGGCTCCCAAACAAGACATCAGTGATGGATTGTGCAACTCAGAAGAATATCCATGACTTGATTACAATAAGTGACGATTTAATCAAGCGCAAGGCTATCATGCGGAACGCATATGGAGAGAAGGTAACGCTTGATCAAACAAACGAAGAGCGGCTTTCGTGGTTTGCTGACCAGTTGATCATGCAAAAGACCATACGAGAAAATCCTCAAGATCCTCAATTTGCCCAACATGCTTATCCGGCGTACGTAAAAGAAGGTCTTGGTCCTGCTGGTCATCTCGTCTCTCCTCTATTTGCCCGTTTATTTGAGCAACGCCAACACTTGCAACTTGGTGCTCAGGGCAAAAAATCAAGATCACTCCGATTCTAGAGTTCAATTACTCTCTATTTTACGAAGAGCAGGTAAGGGCCTTTGCAATTCAAAATGAGTTGTGAGTGCATACCATTAGTGTCACCTGAGATCATGCACATACATGAAGCAGACTATGTTCAGCACACACAGGTTACTGCCTGCTTAGCACATGAATAGAAAAGATCAAAAATTCTTTGTAAGATTTGTCCGATCTCAGTTTGCTAGGGATTTGTCTGTTGACTCTGGTGACCTGTTGGGATTTTAGAGCTAGTGACCTGTGGGTTCCCTAATTCCATGTACCCATCCACAATCCAAAGCCATTGATTTGAGGTTTTCAATTCAATTTCATGAACATGAGGTTTTTAGTTGAATACACAATCACCTGTAAGATCAAATAATCCAGTCTTTGAACAAAGTAACCTAATCACCTCAACGGTCGAAATGGATAATAGAGGATAGCATCCTGCATCTACTCGAATGCATGGATGATACGATACTCTCCTTAATCCACATCAATTTAAGAGTGGAATATTAACAGTATCAATAATCACACAGGTTAACAATGATTCACCTTGACTAATAAAAACACCCTTTTTCGTACAAAAATGAGTAAAGTCAAAAGCCAGCATTCGCCTGTTGATTTCCAGAAATAAGATCTTGGAGTTCATAGTGATTACGAAGTATTCTATACAAGGGCATTCATCCTTTGTTCCTTTCCCAGAAGTGCTTAATGCACAACCTATTCGAGATTGACACCGACGTTTATGTACATGAAGCAACACAAACACAATTGAACGGATTGATTACAAAGACAGTAGCGGCCGTCCCCCCAGTATCCGTAGAGATCGAATAGAGGACAACTCAAGGAATGAAGAACCATGTCGTTTCAAGAGGAGTCAGTCATCAGAAATGTTCGAATGCGCTGCAGCAGTTCTGCTTTCACAATATCGGGCACCATAGCTGCAACAGGAAGTTCCAGGTAAGTCAACGATCCCTACGAGATAAAATCAGTTTTACACAACTAGAAACCCTTCCACTATATTTACTTGCACCAGTGGGCATAGGAAGTTCCGAAGGTAAGACCTCTTTCCAAAACTTGCATCTTGAATGACCTCTTTGAAATACCAGACATGAGATTAATTGCAAGATGAACACACCTCGACCTTTAGGAGTAATGGTGCGAACAAGCTCGTCCACGGTGATGTTACCACGACCTTTCTTTCTGGTAAAAGCTCTGTCAGGAATCCCGTCCAAGCATTTTTAAGACCCTTCTAAAATATGTCAAGCACAGAGGAATACAATAGACAGCAACCAGCTCAAATGTCATTTAAATAAGCAGAAGTTTCTATTGCACGAAAATACATTCAAAGTTCAAGAAAGCTCATGGTACACAGCATAGCGTGCTTATTGTGATCAAACAGTCAGAGAGCTTTATAATGTGCATCGCGTATATATGCTAGCGTCAAGACACAGGGAGACCAGACCTGCATTGAGCCTTTAGTTCATCTCTCCAGCCACATTCAATAAGCCGCTCCCGCAATAATTCCTTCAATCTCTCTTTCTCCCCGCTTTCTATCAACTGCACTCGTTAAGCCAAACAAATTTAAGAAGACTTCTTCCACTCGAGCAAACGACTACACCAAGGAGAAGCTGAAGAAAAATCCCAACCAAAAAAAACAGGTAACGAGCTACGACACATTCGGCAGAAAATTGCAAATGTCAGAGCTCCTGCAACCTCAGAAGAATACAGTTCTGATCGAAAATGGAGGAGATAATAGACCTTGATGTTTATGATTTCCTGAAGAGTAGGCTCCGGTTCCATTTCTTCATCGGCATCGGGCGTAGGCGGCCTACTAACGGATGCCCTCCTGAACCATCACCCCAATCATCACCGCCATCATCAAAACCTCTCAATCAGCCCTACATATCCACCCTCACATTGCACCCAACTTGGCACAACTCACTCACTCCAACTCTCTCATCACCACCACGGCCCAACAGACACCAAGAATTTAACACACACCTCCGAACCCTACAAGACCACTCACTCCACCGAGGACACACATTCCCCACTGCTGCCAACAAACACCAAAATCGACCCACAAACCCTAGAACTACACCAACAACTCACATAGCTGGAAGTGGCGAACACACAACGGCACACGCGACGCAGCCACTATGAGAAGTGAATGTCTAAACACCGGCAACTTGGTAATCGGAGGTCGCGATGATCCAACAACACCACCGATATTAATGAGAGGCTCTCTCTCGGCCACAGCCACACTCAACTACACGCTAGTTTCGGCAGAGATAGCTTGCTTGACAGCACACACTTAGGGCGGAGAGAATTTGCACATGCACGCTTATCGAAGTGGGTTTCCTTTTTATTTTAAATAATTCTTGTTGATGACGATGAGCACGATGTTCATCTTCACGACATCGCATCACCACCTCGACACGGAGGTTGGAAGAAGGAGGTGTGATCTCCACATCAACGCAGCAGCGATGACCCTTGTGGCTATGGCTATGGAGCTCCAAACCCTAATTTTCGGCATCCCCATCCCCCCCCCCCCACCCCCATTTCCTCAATTAACTCTCATGGGCTCCGCTGTGCTGAGTCGCCACTTGATCACTGGCGAGTCGGCTTTGGCTCCATCCTCCTATTAATTAATTAACACGCCTTCCGGGATTATTATTATTATAAGCCCAATGCTAATCACTCTTAATTAATGTTTTATGTGCCCTTCTAATCCTCTCTCTCTTTTACATCTACAAAAATGCTTCTTATCTACAACTTTGGCATACACCTTCATTCACTTTGTCTATCACAACTTTCTGGGATTAGGGTTTTGAGTATCCTAACTGCATGGAATTTAATTGTCTATTCAAAGTTTTCCAGAAATTGTATTTCTAAGAGGAAGTCAAGTAGGCAAAGTAATAAGACTAGAATTGAAACACATCATCACTTGTGATCTATGTTAAATTTTAAATCAAGTGAAAAATTTGAAGTATTTCACAAGTTGTGTTTTCATAAAGATATATGTATGTGCAAAAGATCTATGTTACTATTTTAAGAATTATACATAGTTAATTAGAAATTTTATTCTATATATATGTATTTCTAGAGGTTGTGATTTCTACTTGTCCATCCTTCATACACAGATAAATCCATCTCCCTTAATCATTTTTTATTACTTTCTATCAACCATTTAAAAAAGATGCTCTATAGCTATGTTGGTAATTTACAAATTACTTTACAAAAGTAATATCTAAAAAAGCCTTGTTATTCTATTTGTGTAATAAATGTGTAAATATAAATGTATATTTTATGAATATATATATATATATATATACATACATATATATGTACACGTATTGTTCATAATATTTTTTATTTTTTATGTTTTCTAATTTTTTTTAAATAATAATGCACATGTTGAGGACATTCATATGATGTGGCATTATTAGAGCCTCCAAACTTCACCCATTTCGCTCTTCCTAAAGAGATAAATAGATAAGGGGGAATACAGAGGCACCATGACGATGATAATTGTCCCTTGGTATTGCTCATTCATCCACATCCACTTATGACCCTCTAACTCCATATCACTATAACATTTCATGACCCCACATAAATCATAAAACCATGCATAATTTATAAAAATTTCCACCTATCAAGGTTATATATATATATATATATATATATAACATAGCTATAGAGCATCTTAAGATATCTGCCACCACACAAAGCCTCAGCCTGATGCAAGGTTTTACTCCAATCGTAAAATGCAGACCTAACCGACCCATCAAATAACCTGCCACAAATCTGGTAACCACACTTTGCTCCCAATGGCAATGAGACAAAATGACTTATGTACTTATCTTACATGATTGAAATATTATCACAAATTTCCACCAATACTCTTAAGATTGGTTCGAGTTGATGGATCGATCTATACATGTGAATACACAAGTCGTGATCCTAGAAAGAGAGACTAAGGTGTCTTGAATGCTGCAGCATTCTCTTGGGGAGATTAGGCAACAGCTAATCTCTAGGTTCCAACGTGACATCTACACTTACCTTTTGATCCCCACGAAGCACCTCCAGTTTCACCTGTTACCACCCAACATGCCAGAATGGCTGCTTAACGTCCCTTCTTAAGAATGATATTTGATTGGCATTGCAACGGCACATGATCCCCAAACACAGAGTACCATTTCGTTGATAACAAAGAAAAACCCTAGTTGTGGAAAGTTTTCTGTGCAGCAATATGCGAAAGCTTATTGGTTTGAAAGATCATATTGTACCATGTCTCCGACTTTACAGCGGTCTAAAATCTTGTAAAGATCGCTGCCGTTAGCAATTTTTTTCCCATTCACTGAGGTGATAACGTCTCCAAGCACCAACCGACCATATGAATCACGCGTTGTTGGCCTTAGTCCCTGATTCCACCACAAAACCTCTCAGAATGTTCCATACCAACTTATAATCACAAATGCCTATTTCAGGCTTAGTAAGAACCGTTAAATGATACGCATTCTCAAAAGAGAGTACAAAAAAACTAGACTTTGCCTAAGATGTACGTCAGACTTGAAGTAAAAAAAAAAAAAAAAAAAAAAAAAAAAAAATCACTCTCGAACTTGACGAGTGCCCATTCCAGCTCTGTAATGAAGATTTGATAAGATGTCAACTATACGCCATTCAAACGATGCGGGAATCAATTCACACTAAGTGAAGTCAAGCCAGTGAAGGTAAGATGTATACTAAGAAAGTCTGGCATCTAATGTATTATAAATAACTCTTGAGAACTTACAGCTTTTCCTGCTGGTCCATTCGGAGGTGCATCCAGCACGAGCACACCACTCACGCCCAACTGTTCTACTGCTTGCTCTGGAGCAAATGAGATTCCCAGCACAGGGCGGGTCACTTTTCCAAACTTCACAATTTGCTCCACAATACCGCTTACCTGAACATACCAGCCATAAGTTCATTCCTATGTCTCTCCCAGATACAGAAGGGCTACAAACTTTGAGCATAATACACGCGACCTATTTGATTTTTAATTAATCTACCCTATTCTGGTTCCACTCCATGGTCATAAATCACAATGATTGGGAATCAGCCACTCTGACCCTTACTAGTTCAAAACACATTTGCTCTAAAAAACTTACTTTCCTAAAAATATGTGTACCAAATCATAATGAAGATAGAACTTACCGTGTCAACGGGTATTGAGAATCCGACACCGGACGATGCGCCAGACGGTGAGTATATGGCAGTGTTGATACCAATGAGGTTGCCAGCACTATCCAGTAATGGGCCCCCACTGTTTCCAGGATTAATTGCAGCGTCAGTCTGGATGACATCCTGAATAGGACGGCCAGTTGCTGCAGAGCTAATTTCCCTCCGCAATCCACTGCGTCCAACAACAATAGATGAATCATTTCATGGTTCCAAAATTCGACGTCAGCTATGGGAAGTGACTCTGAATTTACAATTAGGGATAGCACTAGCATAAAAATAAGCAGAGCATTACTGAATACCTGATCACTCCCGTAGTAAGTGTGTGATCCAGCCCAAACTGCACCCAAAAATTGAAAGACGGTGACACGTCAAATTACCGATCCTTGTATAAACTGGACTCTGTAAAATCTGGGAAGCAATCTCTACAACACGAATAAGGCATGACGTACCAGAATAAAAAGAAAGGGCGCGAAGTAATCAATCATCACAAGGAAACGCAAATAGTTAAGTATGCATGTACCGGATTGCCAATAGCAAACACTTTCTGACCCACAAGAAGGTCAGACGAGCTGCCCACAGTCAATGGTCGCAACTTGTCTTCAGGTGCATCAATATGCAATACAGCTACATCCTTATCCTCGTCATAGCCAACAACATCTGCCTCGTAGACAGACTGGTCGCCAAGGGTCACCCTGTTTTAAAACGAGATTTGTCAAGGAGTATTAAAATGAAGATTTGGATCCAAATCTTGCAAAGCTGAAGCAGCATAATATAATGCCAACGCTCATAGCAGTACGCGGGACTGAGAATTCTAGGACCATGCAGAGCAGCAAAGAATCGGCGAGATGAGAAGTGCACGCCAGAGCTCGAGCAAAAATTGTGTCGTACCGTAGGTCCGAAGCGCCTCTGATGACATGGTAATTTGTTACAACGTGACCCTTCTTGTCCCAGATGAACCCTGAACCTGAGCCTTGAGGCACTGACATCACATCGAGAGTGAAGACGTCTCTTCTGAATGAATACAAGCACAAGCCACATTGTTTTCAACACCGTTGTCTTCACCTCTAGACACAAATCGCAGACTCACATTGTTCACAATACTTAGCTGCTCATTCTTAGTTATCAATGGAAATTGTAAACAAAATCATTATCGTCATTACAGAGACATGAGTTGACATTCTCCCTAGGAGGATAAAAAATTAAATGGACGTCCAACAGACTGTAGCAACGAATGGTGCATTTTGCAATTGCAGATCTGAACCCTAAACCTAATAAAGACATGTTTTGAAAAACATTTCAAACCGAAAGGAACCTCGAAGATTCTTTGAACAAGACTTTACACCCTTATTGCTACACATCGAAGTTTATGAGGATGAAATTCGATTGAATGAGGAATTGAAGTGCTTCTTAATTTCTTTCTTTCTTTTCTTCCTTTCCTCAAAATAAGACCAAAAAAATGAAATCTTAAGTCCTTGAATGCTGACAGTATGATTTGTGGGATTGAGCAAGCTGACAGAGGAGTATAGGGACAAGGTAAGCATTGCATCTATACCATGACAGAGTCAATCGATTCTTCGAGAAAAATCTGAGAATGAATGAAATGAGGTAAAATTGGCCCAAAGTTTTAAAACTTTTGGAATTGGAAAGATGTGTACGTACCGGACAGCGAGATTAGTGATGTACACAACAGAGGGAGTGTTTTCCTGGAACAACTGCACCGTGGCCAGCTCGTCCCCTTGCAGCTTCCGAGGCGCAAGCACTAAAGCAGAAGCGTCCAAAGGCTCGCTCATCAACAAACCCATCACAATTGCAGCTGAAGTCATCCACACAGCAGCTGCCGACGACGCCGTGATCAATTTCTCCACCAAACTGCCCCACCCCCGGCCCCCACCCAACACTCTCTTTCTCACTGCCCGCCACAAACTCTCCACATCTAAACCTTCCTCACGACCACTCGACGACGCAAATCCATCCTCGGCCTCCACGGAATTTCGCAACTCGACCTCCTTGACACCATTTCCCCGCACTCTGACTTCCTCAAACCCCCTAGAGCTAACAATCCGAACCGCCTTCGCTACCGCAAATCCCAATTTTAAACAACGCAGCTTCGGAGTAATCACCAGCCTTGTACCAGAGAATCCATTTTTAACCCGCTGCTTCCGCAATCCATGAAGAGGCGAGAACTGACCGGTCCTGTTCGCAGCGATAACACCATTCTGCTGTTTCATTGACAAGCAACTGTGAGCTGAGTAAGTGGCGAGAGAGAGCGCCATCGCTGACGACTGATTGCAGCGGAGACCTCAATGCCTTATTGCATTTACCACAAAATGAAAGTGAATCTCGTTCGCAAGAGAAGCTTGGAGAAGATGAGGATCGTTCGAATGAATGAAGGGCCTGCACCACTACGTCTACCACGGAGACCACAGAGATACAGGGAGGGTCCCCGTTCTCATGCCAAAATGCGGCAACGCAGTCACGATACGCGAGATCTGCGAAGAAGAAGAAGAAGCCCCGGCGACCGAGCTCCCCAGAAGCTGCTGGTGCAATCCAAACCTGGCTTGGCCTACTTGGCTCCCGACCAATCTCGGCGCTCTACTTGGCACGTGCGGATTGGCTTCGCCTCACAGTGGGAAGCTCTCATCCACTATATTCATCCATCCTTCACAATATTACAGCACCTCTTGTCAATAAAAGTCGAACCGTGCTCCTTTTATTATTTATCTCTCTATCTGTTGTTGTTGTTGTTGTCGTTGTTGTGCTTGACGTTGTGTAGGATTGCGATTGTATATTTTCCATAAATAAATTATTGTTGTGCCCAAAAATTGTCATCGATTCTTACTAGTGTAGCAAAATATTCAGAAATACTAAAGTGGTATAGGTTTTGGTGCAATGTGGGAATATAGTAAGGACCCAAACTTTTGTCCACTTTCATCTACTTTTCAATATGTCAATGCTTTATCCTTGTTATTTTTATTGGATCGTGTTATTGGGCTAGTCTTCCATAATTTTCTCCTCTGAGATGATTTACTGAATTTGATTCCAAATTATGAAACTCTCGAAAACAACATTACACACCACACAACACATCACTGTTATATGATATATATATATATATATATATATATATATATATATATGCAAATATAATTTCAATTATGTTATTTTTATGAGGCCTAAAGTTGGCGATGGATTTTTAGGATGGGATGAAACATAAATATGGTCTAAATTGAACTATACATGGAGATGGAAAATACGAGAATCTAATGAATTATTCGAGGCTTTGTGAATGAACAAAACTTTTATCGTTGGGAAATTGGTGATCAAACAAAGAAACGACCAAACTCTTGCTCTCACCTCAGGTTTAGGGTTATGGATGCTCCGAGGACTCAAGACGATTGATCCCCCGGAAGTTGAAGGCAATGGAATGGGGGCAAAGAGACCGTGAAATTGCCCTGTCTTAGAACTGAGGACTTGCTCCGATGGAAAAGACTTCACTGGATTCAGAGGGGGCCCGTTACTGAATGAATGTCGGGTACTGAGGTGGTGATATGCTGTGGAAGAAGATCGGGGGCTGAAGAGCTGAGGACTTGAATCGAAGCTCCGAGTTCTCAAGTCCGCTCCACCGTTAAGGGCGTCCCGCCGAGGGTTTTAGCGCAGGCAATTTTACAAAGTGGAGATGCCATGGTAGTCCGATGTGTTGGAATTGGATGATCGAGCTCGATTACTTTCTCTATGTTAAATTTTGTTTTTCGTTTTGTTGGATTCTTTGTAGCGAGCTTGTTATTGTTGAAGTGTAAGCATGGTTGTTGTCTTTATTTATTTTTTTGCTTTCGGTTCCTCAAGTTTTCCGTCTTGCAGTTTCACATTGCAGCCATCAACGATGTGGACACCTCTCGGGACTTCTCAGAACCCCTGGCTCCCACAAAAGAAGCCCAGGTTTGTCGTCCTGATTTCGTACAAATTGGCTCTTGTTTGGCCTGATGATCACTGTTGTGGTTAAAGGGAAACTCATTCGAGCAAGAGGTGGGAGTAGATGATCATTCAGAGGTTTTTTGACGCAAGAATATTAAACTTCATGGATTCTGATCAAGTTGGCTCAATTTAATTCAGGAGTCTCGACTAACGCAAATGTATGGAGAGGCACTGTCACATTTGCAACATGGTCAAATTGAGAAAGCGCAGAGTCTTTTCCAGAGTATATTGCAAGACCCTATCTCTATCAAGGCTCAGGTAAGATTGCGTTGCCGTGTTCTCCAAATTGATCTAGTCTGCTTTCTCATCTGTGTTGGAGAGAAGTTGTACGTCAGAGCACGAGAGAAGAAATTCAATCACGTGACTTTCCAATTTGTCCTCGCAGGTCGAACCGGTGTCGAGTGCCAATACCATGCTTCAATTGCGGTTAGTGATTTTTCTGAACTGGAACAAGCTGTCGGAAAAAGCTCCTCACCTCTGCTGACTGGAATTTGGAATTTTGAAACCCCGATTGTGGTATGAGTATGGACGTCTGAAAAGCACAAGCATCCTGTAGAACTCTGCCCCGGTTCACCAGGTAGGGCTACGTTCAGTTCTGCCGCTTATGTGCTGTTCACTGAAGGTTTGTGTAAATCTCGTCTCAGGTACTCGGCCCTGAAGAATCTTGCAGAAACTTTCTCAATGCAGGGTAGTGGCCACCATGTCGAAGCTGTGGATTGCTTTCTACAAGCAGCCGCTATTGACGGAAAGGATGTGGTTCTATGGAATCGGCTTGGTACTCTGTCATGCGCTCTTGGCAACCTAAATGTCGCTCGTCGAGCATTTGAGGAGGGTTTGCGTTGCAGCCCACGCCATTGTAAGCTTTGACCTTACTCGTTCATTTTTAGATTTCGATAGTAGCTCTTGGTTATTGATGGCAATCCAGTTGATGTAAATCTCACACAGTTTAATAGTGTTTCTTGATTTATGTATTTCTTTTGTGGTGTACGCGGTGCTCCGTTGATAGGGTGGACTTGAATCAGTATTTCCTGGAATTAGGGAAAGTTTTAACACATTTGTGAACTTACGTGACAGGGAGTTGTATGGAGAAGCTAGTAGAGATTCTTATTGCTGTAGGAGATGAGTCAGCATGTCTCTCCGTAGCTAAGCGGTTGCTGAAGCTGTCGCCATCTCACCCTAGAGCTTTGCAGATTCAGCATGCCATTGAACAAGGGGTTAGTATGCGTCCATTTGATGGCCCCAAAAGTGGACATGAGACTTCCTCTGTTCTAAAAATAGGTCCTAGAGGATTTGACCTGCTTCAACCAGAGTACTTTGGCCTTTCCTTCGACAATAAGCGAAAGCTGGAAAATGCGTATGAAACAGTGCAGCATCAGAAGAAAAGGAAGGTCCACAGCATTGATGTACATCTCCCAGAGGCTTCTTGGTTTGCACTCGTGAATGCAGTGACTGACGTTCTCAAGGGGGGTAGATTTTGGAAGGACGACGAGCCGTCACTCAACACTCAAATAGTAGTTTCGCCAGGAGGAAACCAGTCTGAACAACAAAAGGCTGCATCTGCTGGCATTTCAGCTGGACTTGTTAATGCCACAGTGAAGTTCTCAGTCCATAAAAGCCACCCAATCATTGTGGACCTCAACAGTGAGTATAAAGAGCAGGTAGCAGGTGAAGAGGCAGAGCTTATAAGCGAGGATTGCCTCAACAGCTCTTCTACTAAGACATCGGAGGAAGTAAGTAGAGAAGGATTGGGAGTGGCCCCGGTTCTAGCTGAACCGAGGGTTGAGTCAGCCTCAGAGAACCGTGCGGAAGGACACAAGGACGTAGAGAATGCTTCCGTACATCAGAAACAACAGGGTACAGGGGAGAAACAGGAAGCTTCTAAATTACCCGATTTAATGAAGCCATCAGATCCAACGACTGAGTGGGATCAACCATCACAGGAACGTCGTAGTACTCGGCTTGAGAAACTGCGTAGCTGTCGGAGGCTTGACAAGGAGGGAGAAGGATTTAGCCACAGCAGCGATCCTGCAAGAGCATTGAAGAAGGCTTTGGAGCCATTCGTGATTTATATATTGGATCCTTCAACCAATGTAACTGAGGAGTCTCTTTCGGCAGTGAATCCCAAGTCCATTAGTGGTTCCAATAAGTCTGCCCAAGCAGAGGGTCAGCAAATAAGGGATGGTGGACAATGTATCAAAGGGGAAGAGGAGAAAGCAGTGCTTCGATTTTTGAATGAGGTTGCAAGCAATAGCGGTATCTTCCACGTAGCACAACAGCTTCTAGAAAGAGTAGTGGCTTCCGGTCCGAGTCAAAGAAAATCTTTGTCATGGTTACTTTTCCTTGAGAAATTGACACGAATGTGGGCAGCTGAACGGAGTGCTGCGTGCAGCCTGTTTCTTGCTGAAGTATACATGGATATGGCTACTTCAGCTACGAACGATACAACTGCTTCTAAGTGTTTTCATGATTGTAATTACAACGTATGTCGTCTTATAGAAAATGCCACCTCCCGTGGAACGGATGATAAAGAAAGGATGGCATCTGCAGGCGTCGATTCAAATCTGGGCAGTAATGGAGTCACCGAAAAGAGTGAAGTTGATTCCATGGAAATTGCCTCAGGACGGGTGGAGTTCACGAATTGCCTTCAGGATCTTCTCACGAGTGTACAGTTTCCTACCAACAGCAAGCTCTCTAGCAATCTGAGTCCCATCGACTTGTCTCCTCTGGATGTGAGGTATGATTGGTCATTTTGGGCTCGATTTCATTGGTTGAGTGGCAGGCTATGGGTTCATTCAGGCCAGTGGGAGCAGGCGCATAGAGAATTTGAAAGATGTCAAAGCATTCTGGAATATCACGAACGCACTGGTTCTTGTGCACTTATCTTTCTGCCTCATTGTAAGCTGGATAAAGAAATATCTTTAGACCGTGTGCATGGAAAGCTTCACGAATTGCGGGTGGAGAACATTTTGAAACATTCGGCAGCCAAATTGTTAGAAAAGGGCCAGTATGAAGATCTTATTCGTTTACTTAAACCAGTATTACTAGGAGGAAATGATCGGTCCTCAAACATATCAACCTCGGGCAGCGACGATCCTAAGAGAGGTGATGCTTCAGTATCTTCTCACGAATTGAAAGGGCTGGAGATGCTAATTACAGCATGCGAAAACATAAAACCTCCGAACCTTGTTCTCGGTCTTCAATGCCGTGAGCTGAGGCTTAGACTTTTAAGTCGTGCAGCTGGGTTAGCAGAGGTGAAGATTGGAGATGATAATGATAGTTCTTTCACGACCTTGGACACGGAAGTGGATGTAACACAAGCTACTCCAAGTGGGCCTTGGAGCAAACTTGTTGCGGAGGAAATCCATCACATCTCCCATGGCGCAGCTCTTTTAAGTGAGAAACTGGAGGGACCGGAGGGATACAAGTCACTTTCGCCGGTGTTAGGACGTACTCAGTTGCTCCTGCTCACATTGATGTGCCACTTTGTACAAACGCTGTCACACCGCAAGGGTAACACTGGAGTGGCGAATCTTAGTCTGAATACCCAAGCGTATAGTAGCTGCTTTGTAGATGCCGCCATTGCATTTTGCCGTTTGCAGCATCTGCAGCCTTCGGTTCCGTTGGAACACCAGGTATTCTCACGTCTTAGTTAGGTTTTATTGCCTTGATGGGTGGGTTTTTGCCTTGTTGCATGAAGGTTTGATGGAGTTATTAGAACCTTGCGGTGTTTGTGATTTACCCGCAGTTACAGAAAACGATGCGCTTATCATACATTCTGTATGACCGTAAAGAAATGTGAATGGAGCTTACTCCTTTAAAGCATGTGTCTGCACTCTGTTTTTGATATGGCAAGCTCAAGGCATGGCTATTTATCATATGTAGGTTACTTACCTGCTTTTGGCTTTACAGGTAACTCTGTTGGTTACTCTCCATGACGTGCTGGCAGAATATGGACTGTGTTGCGCTGGAAAAGATTCTGAAGGTGGAGAGGGTGGATTCCTCAAGATGAGCATCAAGCATCTTGGAGCACTTGAGTCTCGTCTGAAGCCTCAAAACGTAAACAAGTCTCCTGCCAAGGCACAGATCAATGAGCCGATTGAGAAAGAGATTGTGATTGACGACGATGTTATGATCATTGAGAAATCGAGTTCTCGTCCAATAGAATCGAGCGAAGTTGCCGATAAAGAGAAATCTGGCAATGATAGCAAAGGTATCTCACTCGTCGATGAGAACCATGAGGAAGAGGCAATGGACATCGAAAAGAAACGGGAAGAACTTGGTATAGATTACGCACTTGACCAAAGTTTCTTTTGCCTCTATGGACTGAATTTGCGTGGAGAGGCTACGGGTCCTGATGGCCTTATGGAGCATCAGAACACTAATCGAGGCGATTACAAGACAATGGAACAATGTGCTGGCGTCTTGCAGTATATACTACCTTACGCAAAGGCTTGCTCGGTATGAAGTCCTCATTTTTGTCACACAGACTGCTAATTGTCTCTATTTGAGAGTTGCAGGGTTCCAATGATTGGTAGAGAATCTGTGAGCATTGTGCTTCTGTTCTTTTTGTGCAGTTCTATGTATTCTGTATTCGTGAAATTTCAGTGCAGTTCTCTATTCAGAGATTTTTTTTTCTCACACATCGACATAACTGCTGTTCTATTCTGCAGAGAGCTGGTTTGATGAAGCTAAAGAAAGTACTGCGTGCAATTCACAAGCAATTTTCCTGTCCCCCACCAGATGTTCTGTCTGAGAAGTCAGTGGACATGTATTTAGAAGATCCAGATTTCGATGAAGACAAACTGCGGGATATGGTAAAATCTGGTACGAGTGCCGAGCTGGTTGTAAATTTTGCCCTCCATTCAAAGAGACGCGAGGGCTTTGCGTCCTCGAAATCAAGTTCTTTGGTGAAAATTGAATGTGAGACTCCAGCTACTTCCAAGGCTTCCTCTGCGTCACCTTCATGCAAAGTGCCTGAAAGGTCTCTTCCAGGGGCAAGTGCTGAAAAAGAGAGCGTTTCTTACACCAACGTTTATGAAAACTTATACTACCTTGTCGCTCAGGTCTAGTAACTTTTTTTACTGTACCTCTACTGTTTATATTTTAACTGATTGTAGCTGTATAATATTCTCATTTATGTTTGAGCTTTGGTTGCTAGAGTTTCCTTAGGGTCGCACACCTGTGTGTCTCCACCTTTATGGGTTTTAAAGAACCTCGTTGGATCAACTGAGGCGCTGGCTACTCTTGTTGTGATTTTATTCTTCTATTTCAACTGAGGTTGAACTTCTTGTTAGCTTTACCTGTGATCTTTTAAGGCAAGAACTTGGACGTTAACACAGACATAGTTCCCCTCGAAGTTCATATAAGTGAGTATTTTGTAAGTAGTTTCTCGTGTACTGTAGCTGAAATCGTTCATGGAAAATTCTTCGTGCTCACATATGCCTTTCTGGCATTCAGATCGAGGACATGAGTGCTAGTGATAAGTGGCCAGGTTTCGTGCTCACAAAAGAAGGCGAGGAGTTTGTTCAAACAAATGCGAACTACTTTAAGTATGACCTTTGTTACAACCCATTGCGGTTCGAGAGTTGGTTGAAGTTGGCGAAGATTTTGGACGAGGTGAAGCATTTCTGTCATTTTCTCTAAATCATGTGCATTTCATATTGCGTTGCAGCTAACAGTTTCTTAGTGAAACATCTGCAGCTGACCTTTGAATTCGGTGAACTGCTGACTATTCGAATTTTACTCATTCAGATTTATCACAAAAAACCCAGATTATTTTATCTCTCTCTGCTCTAATCGGTGAGGTTTTTCTAAAACTGATAATTTAGTTTTTATGTTCATTTCAGGAAGTCGATCTGCTTTTGAATGATGGAAGTAAGAATATTAACGTGGTAGAATGGCGAAAAACCGGAATTTTAGCATCTCGTGTGGAATTAAGCCGTCGTCAAAGCAGACGGAGTTTGCTTATGGCTCTTGCTCTTGCTGTTACTCCTGATCAAAAGGTACTCATAAAGTCATCTCTTTTTGCTGTATGGAATTGTTTGTCCGAACTCTTGATGTCTCTTTTATAACTTCAAGATCATTTTCCTTGTGAATGTGACGTTTGTTTTGTGGGCTGTTCCCTGCGTTCGTCTTATATTTCAGGATTCTAATTTGACCCTACAATTGCAGAGTGAAGTAAACGAGCTGCTGGCCCTGGTGTACTATGACTCTATTCAGAATGTAGTGCCCTCGTATGATCAAAGGCGGCACGTTCCTGTCCACGATGCGTCTTGGATTGCAGCCTGTCAAAATTCTTTTGCCCATTTCGAAGTTGCTTATTCTTACAAGTATGTGTCATTGGACTCACACCTTTCCTTTAAATGTGAGTTTGAACAAGAGAAGTTTGATGCAGTTTTTCCCAGTAGGAAGGGTATGTGATAAAATTGGCTGAAACTGTTTTGCAGGCCGCACTGGACTCATGTATTTTATTGTGGAAAACTAGTCGAGAAATTGGAGCAGCCACATAGTGTATCTCTTGCCTACTACAAAAAAGGGATAGACATGAATCCAACAGCCGTTGACCCACTCTATCGCCTTCATGCATCTCGTTTTAAGCTATTGTGTTGTAGTAGACACAGTGACAAAAATATTCTTCAGGTGGTTTCTGATCTTTTTTTTCTTATGATAGCTGCTCCTTAGCTTGCTGGTCTTTATCCTTTTAGGAATGCCCAGGAATTCTTTGCATCTCTCTGAGTGATAGCCAGATGTTCTCTCATGGTTTTTGCTTGAATCTTTTAAGTAGTAGTATGGTGTAGGCTTTGCATAAAGTTATAGTTTCTATTCAGAAACATAGAAATTGGACAAGCAACTTGTGTGATGTGGTGATTCCTGATGAGCTGTTTCATGTTTTTGTTGCAGGTTGTTGGACAATATTGTTTTCTTCCCTCTACTTTGGACAAAGTGGAGAATATCTGTAAAGCTGCCGTTGGGGTTCTTCCTGATACATCGGGTCCAGTAGGAGAATTTGTGGTTGTGTCTGGTGAGGGTAGTGTACGAGATGGCGCCGACTCACAAGTTGCAGTGACGGGAAAGGTGTGGTTCGCGTCACTGCCATGACAATTTGAAAGTAGCGCTTTTGCTCATTATCTTAGAAAAATCCCGGCAGTATCAGCTGGACTGTTTATGACCTAGTAGTACGAGGATTTCCTACTTGAGAAAAAGTATTTTAGACAAACAATCATCAAATCTAAGATGAGCTTTAGATTTTGATCAGCTAAGATGTAATTGCAACCAACTACTGAAGTGCAGCCTCGAGAACTCATGAGTAGTTCAACTTTAACGAGCATCTTTGTGGGTGGATGGCAGGCAACCGCAAAGTTCACGATTACAGATTTAAAGGAGGATGTTGACAAGGAACTTCTGAACCAGGTCTGGAATACTCTCTTCGATGACTGTGCAGCAGCGTTACAATCATGCTTTGACGGCGAACTCAAACATTTTCACAAGGCTAGGTATCGGTTGGCGCTGGGCTTGCATTGCCGGGGTGAGGATCATGATTTAGAGAGGGCCAAGGAAGAACTTGCATTTTGCTTCAAGACTCACAGATCCTTGTTCACTATCAATATGTGGGAAATCGATGAAAGTCACTTGCGAAAGTCCAGGTATCAACTTCTCTTGACTTAGCGCATTTTTTTGGATAAGAGAATTGCTCAGGAAGGTATGTATTTGAAGTATGCGTGGCAGTTTTTCTCATAACAGACTCTCGACAGGTGAAAGAAAGTACCATTTAGTCGATGCAACTTTTGACTTTTTTGTCCCAGCTTGCTCATATTCGTGTCTTTTATACTTTGCTATTAATGCTTGTTCTCTTCATTTCAGGAAGAAACCAGCACATCAACGAGTTTTGGAACTGGGGATGCCTGAGAGCTCTCGCAAATTCATCTCCTGTGTACGGAAGTATCTGATTTTCTACTTGACCTTGTGTGAAGAAGCTGAAGATCTGGGCACCCTGGAGCGGGCTTACACATGCCTGAAAGCTGATAGGAAGGTCAACTACCATCGTTTCCGTACATTCTGTCTGTCACTACTTTTGTTGATTTAGCATATGTGGGCATGGAAAAAATAGTTCAAATGATTATTTTATACAAGTTACGGAAATTGAATGGGTATGCTCTGATTATTATTTGAGGATATGTTTGTATTCAGCTCATCTCTTGATAACTTGCGTACAACTCTTGACGAACTGCAGTTTTCTTTGTGCTTGGAGGACATCTCTCGTGTAGCACTGGGAAAGTACATTCTAGCTCTAGCCCGAGCAATTTGCCAAACAGATTCCGAAGGATCTACCTCTCAGACGCTCTTGCACCCTCTTTTAGAGAAAATGTTCAACTTGTACATGGACTTTGGGATCTCATGGTCAGATTCTGCCGGCTTAAGCTTGGCAGAAGCAGGAATTATGAATTCGCCAGAAGTTGCTGAAAGTGCTATATACAGGTACGTGGATTTTATTTTCAGATGTGATGGTTAAAACTTATTTGAAGCTTATTTTATTACATCATATATTTTTTGTCAGATTGTTGACATAGGTGGATAAACCTATATATGTTCATGAATTATTCAGAATTATATCGATTTATGTACTTATTCTGATTCTAAAGCATCTCGTGAACTGTTTGCAGTTACACTCATCGTTATATTCAACTACTCGAGGCTGACAAGCGTGTGGATGCTCTAGAAGTTGTGAACGAGCGCATCAGGAAACGGTTTAAGAATCCTAAGTTAGTCGGTGCACAATCTGGACAAGTTTGCAAGCATGCTTCCTTTGCTTGGTGTCGTGCCCTATGCACTGCCCTTTGTTCCATCACTACCATCTCACAAGACACTGTTCTGAAAAAACCTTGGAGTATTGATCAAGGACTAGAGGAAAGAAAGGATCAAGAACAACTTCTTATTGTTGATTTGCAGGTCGTGCTCCTACAACGATTATCTAGATCTTTCAAAGTCGCTTATCTTCTAGTCTCAGTCCTCTGTTATTGAACTGTTTTTAGGATCTTTATGGTCTTAATGTTTGTGTGTTGGTGCTCTCCAAGTTATCTTCGTCACTTTCTATCATGATTTGCTTGTCAACTTAAGTCTCGTTATGAGACTATTTGAAGGATTTAACTGATGGGATAGTTTTTGAGAATAAAAGGAATGCCTGCTTATTTTGAATGTGCGTTATAAATAACAGATAGAAGCTACTTTCCCAACTTTACATTTTTTATACTTACGAGGATTTGTCGTCGTGGATTACAGGATGAATTTATGGCAACAAGCTCTTATGAAATGCACACTCTTCCAACACTTAGCCAGCATCCTTTGGTACCTACAGATGGACTTGCGCTTGGAGCTGAAACATCGATGTCAACGGTTGGCACTAGCACCTCACCAACTCTTAGTGGATCATATTCTCTGATTAAGAGTATGAAGAATGTGTTGGTTAAGCAAGCAAGTACCGAAAATTTGGATAAGGCGACTGCACTGCTGCGTTCTGCTTATGTCTTCTACAGAGACAGCTTCTCTGGACCATTTCCCAGTGGAATAAACCTATACCTTTTGCACCCTAGCAAAATGCCCAGTCGAGGAGAAGGGTCAACCTCAACGTTGTCTGGAGGATCACAGGCTGGATGTGAAACCCTGGATATAAGCACTCCTAGAAAACTGCTCATGTGGGCTTTTACTCTTGTACATGGGCGCACCGGTGTTGTTGCAGAAGCTGTAAAATACTGCGAGGAGCAAGCTAAGGTTAGTAAACTTTCTCAATGTATCTTTTAATTTTTTACTTTATATTAGAAGGTCCCTCCTCAGTTTTGTGATACAATAGCCTTTGGTATAATGTTGATGCAAAGTTGGACATGTGGTCTTACAGCCTCGTCTTAAAAAGGGCCCTTCCTCTCTCTCGCAAGGTTCTGCTGCTGCTGCTGCTGCTGCCGTAACTATACCAATCTCTTCTGGTATACAAGGTCTACAATACATTCCACTTTCTTGTGTGACTAACTGATTTTCTACTCCTAGAGCCTCTGGCACATATGCTGCATATGTTATACACGAGAGACTGAGGTGCTTTTTAATATTGTACCCAGAGCAGGGTTGCTGGACAGTCTTCTAGAGCATTCGTTTGCGGCATCATTCTGCATGACTCCTTATTATCCATCCTTGCTCTTGGTTTGTCTACTCAGTTGCAATAACAACTTATCTTCCTGTGCGTGTCTTTGTGTCTCAGAGAAGACGGTCACAACCGAAAAAACCAATATCTCGTTGAGCAAACATCTGGTGTCGCAGTCACCTCTTCCTGCTGAGGCAGATCGAAGTTGGGCACCTATGGATGTGGATCCTCCAACAGCACCCGCATCTGCAGTCTCACCGCCAGCTCTAACACCTCACGAAGGGCATGCTGGACCTGTGTATGCTGCCACTGCAATTGGTGGAAGTGTACAAAACACTGTTGCAAATGTGACACTTTCTCCCAGACCCCTGAGTACGAATCCAAGTCCTTCGGGTCTAGCGAAAGAAACCTAATGATTTATGAAGATGAGATACATTAAAGGGAGACCAGAGGATGTCGCAAATTCCAGTTTGGTACAGGGGAACTGGGTAACCTGATCGTAGACTAGCAAGGCAGAGAATTGTAATCGTCTAATGCATTAGGAAGTTCCAGCCTTAAGGAGGGTTGCGTAACACTTGGCGGATCTTTGAGAATCTCCAAGAGATGTGAAGACTACTGTGGACATGTAAGGTGTTCTCTAACACACATTAGTTGTTCAAAACTGAATTGGCTAGTTGCAGTTTAGGTGCAATTGTTAAGACCCCTGTACACGTCCAAAGAAATAGCCAGAATTTGCACACAAGTGATTGTGTGATTAGGTGCTCAGAGGTATTGATACGTTTCCAGACGAACATCTTTGTCGATATAATTTGTACGATAAACTCATTAGTTGAAACCAGTTTGTCAGTAAATATGTTTGTTCTTTGCCAAGCAACGCCATATTTCCAATTTGTGCAAAAAAGTAAGAAGTTGTTCACTTGATTAATAGTGTAAAGAGCAACTCAAACTTGTTTTTGCTTTCAGATGAATAATGATGTAGAATTACTTAAATAACATGTAGAGTATTTTGATTTGGGTGTGTTTTCTTTAGTAGATATCTTAAAATAGGGGCTAGAAGATGCATCATTGCTATTCTAGTGATGTAATACATAATATATGTCCTTGTGATGTAAAACATGTCTAGTGAGTTAATACATAATACATGTCCCTGAATTAGTGAATGCAATTAAGAGATGCTGTAGTAGTAAAAGGATACTAATAGAGGTGTAGAAAAGTATAATTGATTAGTTTTTTACATTGCAATTGTAGATGCATATTGGTTATCATTTGTATATTGATTATCATTTGCAGGTGCATATTGATTACAAATGAGAGTTAATTTCATAAGATGGATTGAAAACTTATGATCCACATGTAATTTTTTATTGCATTGGATTAAGAAATAGTAGAATCAACTCATAATTATTAGTTGTGAACTAGGCTATTGTTTGAATTGTTAAATCATTTTTTGTTTATAATACTATATTTAGAAAGTATTATTGTAAGTTGCTTTATTTGTTTTATTTTTAAAAATAATTGTTTCAAATGTTTAAATTAAACATGATAAAAAAATATGATTTTTGATTTATTAATCTATTAATAATTAGTCCAATGTGGGAAAAAATTAAGAAATGACATATATAGATATTGTAAAAGAGTTACGATATATGAAAGATTACATATCATCAAAAATATTCCTTGTGATGGATTTATTTTATTATTTATTATGTAAATAGTATGTTTTAAGAAATTCTTGATACCTTTGAAAAAATGATAAGTCTAAGAAGATTCTCTAAGAAAACATACTTTAAAAAATAAGACAAATTATAAAAAAAAGAAAGGAAAGAAAAAAGAATTTTATTTTAATAATGGATCTTTTATACTATTTGTAATTACTATTTAAAGTATTACTTTATAAATCTAAGAATTAAAAAGATAATCTATTTTTTAAAAATATTTGACTCATTATTTGTCATAATAATTATATATATATATATATATATATATATATATATATATATATATATTGATACCAAAGGATTGAAATAATTATTACTAAATATTGAAATACTAAAAAATTTTGAAGCATTAATTTTGAAGTATAATTTTCATCTATTATGAGTAATTTTATCCATCACTATTAGATTGATTGGGTTTGATTCAATTAAGATTGGTGGTATATGGATAAAAAGACTCTTTGACGTGGTATTTTTTTCTAATTTAATCTTATAAATTCTTTAGAAATTTTTTCTTCTTATTATTGATTAGAGATGGTTAATTATTTAGAAAAGAAATTTGAGTTCTTTCTAATGTTTATACTCTTAGATTCTTACTTTGTAAAGTGCAAGTATCTTTATTAGTTTGAAAGTGAATGGATTCAACTTTCTTTAGCTTGGTGTCACGGACCAAAAATACAAACAAGAAATCTAAACAAGAAGTTCAAGAAGAAATGACAAGAACTAGATTATCAGATGAGTACAAGAGTAACGCCAAGAGAATTGAGCTAGAGCTTCAAGAGATGCGTTGTCGAGACTGAAGAACTCTTCAGCCTTGACTCCTATATATACTACTGGCCTATGGTTCTAAAGAAGCGCATCAAGAAGCTTCCTAAGAACTATGAAGCTTCTCGAGCAACTACCCAAGAGCTAGGAAGCTTCTCAAGTAACTTCCTAGAATCTACTAGAATATTCTAAGAATCTTCTAGAGCCTTCTAAAGGAATCTTTAGGAAATATTCAAAGAATCTTTAAGGAATCTTTGAAGAATATTCCAAGAGAATATTCAAGGAATCTTCTGGAAGTTTCTAGAGACTTCTTTCTAGAAGGTTCTAGAAACTTGTCTCTAAAAAGGTCTAAGGACTATGTCCCTAACATCACCTCCTCCTTTAGCTTCGAGGTCTCCGAGAAGCAATGTTATCGTCAGTCAATACCAACGCAAGAAAATGAAGATCTGTCGCATAACCTCTGTTCTAATTGTTGTTCACGAGACAAGTGATTCAATGGTCCTTGAAGCCAACGGTAGTGGCCCACGCCTTCAACTTCTGACCAAGCATGAACATCCGTGTCTTCATTGTGAAATTGTCCTGCAAACACTCCTTCTGGTTGACCATTGTAGGCAGACTCGACCTCAAATACAATCACCAGCGATCTGTTGCTCGGAATCCTTCGACGTCGTCGTGGTGCAGGCGGTTCTTCATCTCGCGGTCGTCTTCGTGAGCTAGTTGCTTGAGATGACATGACAAGTGTAGTATCTTGGCTATCCATATTCAAAGGCTAAAACAATAAGAACAAACTTGGGCTACTAACAAAGTTCTACGCTATCTTGGAGAGAATGACTACATCAACTATGGATTTTGGTGGTGCTCTCTCCTCTTTTCTGTTTTCTGGATGAGTAAGCTTCAGTAAGAAGCTATCGTCGAACCGGCTTGGGTTTCTCAGGATATCGTCGATGAAACTCCTGTATCTTTTGCGGCGCATTTGCGAGATTTTCGGCCGGCTCCCATGTTTGTTCATTAATATCGTAATCGCTCCAATGCACAAAGTATTCTAATTTACCCCGTCTTTGCCGTGAATCCAGGACCTTTTCCACCTCGTATTCTTCGTGGTTCTCTATTTCTATGCTAGGTGGTGGACATTGTACTCTTCCAGGAAAAGACGATTCTCGATAAGGCTCCAACAAAGAAACATGAAAGACAGGATGTACCTTCATAGTAGCTGGTAACTCCAGACGATACGCTACAGGATTGATCTACTTCTGGATAACAAATGGTCCCAATCTCCGATAGTCCAATTTGTCACATGGCCGCTTGATCTTAATATTTCGTCGAAGCAGCCAAACTTTGTCTCCAATCATGAATTTAGGTGCCTGATTCCGAAATTTGTCCGCGGACGCCTTGTAAGATTCTTGGGCAGTTTGTAATTGAAGCTGCAAAAGCTCCTTCACCAATCCTTCAGCTGCCGGATTGTTAATCGTTGACGAACTCCATAAGTCAAGCTTCGGATGGTATCCATAATTGGAAAAGAATGGCGTTTGTTGAGTTGACGCATGAAGGGTGTTGTTATATGCGAACTCGGCTAGCGGTAGATATGCGGCCCAATCATCTTGTTGATAGTTGATGGTGCAATGTAAATATTGCTCTAAAACTTGATTCACCCGTTCTGTTTGGCCATCCGTTTGAGGATGAAATGCCGAAGAAAGCTTGATATCCACCTTCAATATCTCAAAAAGAGATTTCCAAAACTTTGACACAAACTGGGTTCCTCGATCCGATACGATATCATCTGATAGACCATGATATCGATACACATTATCAAAAAAGAGTCTTGCTGTGTCTTCGCTTGACGATGTCTTCTTGCAAGGGACAAAATGCGCCATCTTTGTAAGCCGGTCTACGACAACAAAAATGCTGTCAAATGAATTCGATGGTGGTAGATCTGTAATAAAGTCCATGGAAACCGAAGACCATGGTCGGCGCGGAATAGGCAATGGCTGTAGAAGTCCATAAGGCCGATGTCGAGGGTTTTTGGATCTTGAACAAATGTCACAAGATACAACAAAATCTTTCACATCCTTCCACATTTGAGGCCACCAAAAATCGCGAGAAATAAGTTCCAAGGTCTTATTGAATCCAAAATGTCCCGCAGCTGGAAAGTCATGACGAGATTGAAGAACTCGGAGTCGTGTTGGCCCTTTTGGGATATACAATCGCTCTTCGAAATATACTAGATCTCCTTCCATCTTGAATTTATCATCACTAGCATGTTGCTTGATATCAAGGGCTAGAGAATCTTCAATGGTTGCGGCCCATACCTGGTCGAGGAAGTCAGCATTAATTGGTACAATAGCTGCGTTGAGCCGAAATTTCTCTGGCTTCAACAATGTCGTGCACTGTTGATCAAATGCTGCATCTCCAGCCTTTGGCGCAAGATATGATCTCCTTGATAATGCATCGGACAACCCTTGTTGCTTCCCAGGCCGATAAGTAATAACAAAGTCGAACTTGGATAGCGACATACTCCACCGAGCTTGACGTCGATTCAAAACCCGAGCCGACATAAAATACTCCAAATTCCTGTGATCCGTATATACGGTCACTGGATGTGCAATTCCTTCGAGAAAGTGGCGCCACTCTTGGAAAGAATCTACTATAGCAAGGAGTTCTTTATCGTGGATCTCATAGTTGATCTCAGCAGCAGAGAATTTTTGAGAATAGAACGCAACTGGATGGAGCTTCTCATCTACGCCCATCTGTGAAAGTACAGCTCCCAAAGAAAAATCCGAAGCATCTGTCTCCAAATAAAAGGCCTTTGTAAAGTCCGGATGTACCAAGATTGGAGCTGTAGTAAATACCATCTTCAAATCTTGAAATGCTTTTTCTGCGATAGGTCCCCATTCGAGCTTGTCCTTGCATGTTAACCGAGTGAGGGGGGCAGCAACTTGAGAATAATTCTTGATAAAGATCCGATAGTAGTTAGCAAATCCAAGAAAATATTGTACGTCCCTAACCGTCTTCGAAACTTCCCAAGACATGATTGCTTCCACCTTCTTTGGATCCATCTTCAAGCCTTCCGTAGTCGCGATGAATCCCAAAAACTCCATCTCAGTTTGGTGAAATAAGCACTTCTCTAATTTGGCATAGAGTCCTCGCTCCCGTAGTTTTTTGAGTACTAGACGAACGTGCTTCTCATGTTCTTCCTCGTTCTTAGAAAATATCAAAATATCATCTAGATAGATGACAACAAAATCGTCTAGATGCTCTCGAATGATGTCATTCATCATGTGTTGAAAGACCGTTGGAGCATTAGTAAGACCAAATGGCATGACATTGTATTCAAAATGGCCATACCTTATTCGGAAAGCTGTCTTCCATTCATCTCCTTCCTTGATTCGCACAAGGT